GCCCCCCGCTCTCGCCCACCCACCCACGCACACCATACCGTCCCTCTCTCTCGCTCTCACTCTCTGGGCCCTGAGCGGCAACGGAAACACACACGTCTTGTTTTGTTTTCTTCACGTAAGGGAAAACACACGTTTCATTAAAAATATGAAGATAGTACGAAGATAAATACGTGGAGAGAGTGGGGATGCATGCAGCACAGCGCGGGTAAGAAACAGACCGGACACCGAAGACCTGCTCTCTTTAGCAAATAAATCCAAATCCAGGCGGAAAACTATTACTTTGTTATTTTGCCCACATTTGCACGTCTGTCGATGTTTCTCACTCGCCCCCTGAAGACAACATTAACACGGGCGCGCTGTTTCGCCAATACGCCAATATTATGGTAAACAAACAACACCCTGCCGAAGCCCCCGCCCGCCCCGCGGCCCTTCAAACAGCGACACGGAACTGGCGCTCCGGGCCGCGGCCACGGCCGGCCCGCCCGCCCCGGCTTCCTCCTCGCCTAACGATGTTTGTCTGCTCGTGTTATTAGTTTGTTCTCGCTGCCCGCGGCGGCGCGCCATCCGGCACCGGCACAGCAGCCCCACCACAACATAACATCGTCGTTTATTAGTAGTATTATTATTATTTCTAGGGTGGAGAGCCGCGCGTATCGCATACGGTAACGAACCCAAACGTATCGTCGCCCGCCCGCCCCTGCAAAGTCATCCGTTCGGCCATCGCCTTACGTTGGGTTGCGCGCCCTCCCGGCGCGCGCAGCCAGCGAGGCATTTTTCATCCGAGGTCAAAAACTTTACAATTAAAAAAATTAAAAGAGAAACAATGAAGTCTTTGACGTAACGTATGCCACAGCTCATCAATAGGATGCGACGCCTGCCCCGCGGCGCCACGCTCCTGAATATGAAATGGCCCGCGAAACGCACTAACTTTCCCCCGGGGCCGCTGGCCAGGCCGGCAGCCAGACCCTCCGGCCGGCTCGCTAGTTTTATAACTTGGCGCGGCGGTCCGCCGGGGCTTATAAGCACACCGGAAAACTCGAAGGCAATTTGCGTAATAGAAAATCAATGGAGGGAAACACCCATCGGTCGCGGCGGCGGGGGCATTTATAATGCATAAGTACGTGCGGGTCGGGGTGCCGGCGGACTTAGCGCGGGAGTGGGGGGATTAAGCGGGGCCTAACACGCTTATTGGCTCGAAACCATAGCGCCCCCGCCAAGATCCCCGTACGTATCCCCATCTACAAAGTCCCCAACCCCTCTACTTTGGCCGGCGGTATTGATGAACCCCGCCACGCCGCCACCCACGCAGCGCGCGATCGGCAACAAACCCGCCGGCAAGGAACACAGCCCGGGGCCACAAGGTAGCGCACTAAGGGCTCATCCATTGAATCACAACAAAAGGTCGAACGAGATGACCGGGCGACGGCACCAAGCCAGCCGCAGCAGCATCCGAGCAGGGTTCCCGCCGGTCAGCTGGCCACCTATACGACGCGCATGCGCGTTGGGTTGCGTGCCTTCAGGCGCGCCCGAGGGGGCTGATCAAACTAACAGATAAAAGTAGGGCTTCACCGTAAATTATTAAAAATCTCCCTCTCTCTCTCTCTCTCTCTCTCTCTCTCTCTCTCTCACACACACACACACACAGAACAGAACACACCAAACTGAACTTCGAGCTGTAGCCATGCCTAAATATTAGGCAAAGGCGGCAGAGGGGCGACTCACCTGTTGTGGGGACGCCGCGAGGAATGAGTGGCAGTACTGGAGGCTGAGCTGGCCGCGCGGCTCTCGGGCAAGGAAGCTGAACTGCGCGTGCAGGGGCTCACAGGTGGCGTACGATATCCTGCGCAGCGCGTGCGCCATGAGAACACCCTGCAACATACGGAGAGCACATCACTCAGCGGCGCTTAATTGGGGGGAGGGGGGGTCCTTTACTATAAAAACAAGCGTACACATATTTTTTTTCTAATGTTCCTGATTTTTTTCTCAGTTTCTGATTTTTCCTTCATTGTTTTATCTGATTTTCCTCCGATTTTTTTCGGGAGTGTACATTGATTTTTTCGAGTGAATTGCCGTTGCATTGGTTCCACTACTGGTTCCACTGGTTCAACTGTGCGCAACCCAAGAAGGGTGACTGCGATGTCACGGCCAAACCAGGCGCACCCCTGGAGTCAGGCAACCCATCGTGCACGGGCGCACGGTGGGCGGCGCGACCGGCGGCACGACACGCATTCTCCTCTCTGACCCTGAGTAGCCCCGAGAGGTAAGCTGAACAGTCCAGCCGTCGCGAGCGGTAGCCAATCACAGCGCTTTGTCATGTTCCACGGTCGCGTGCCATTCACAGACCTGTTCAGTCGTGTTCTGATCCGCACACACACACACCAGACCTGTGCGTACCTGCACACACATTCCAGGCTCCGGTCGCGGGTGACGACATCCCTGTTCTAAAAATAGATTGGTATTGTCATCGGGCCAAAAAATCTTGTACAGTTTTGTGATACAGCCTGGGCAAGTCTGGAAATAATACGAAGGAGTAGCCAAACTGTTCGTCATCAATCACGCATGTGGAGGGAGGTAGGGGGTGTCTGGTCGCCTGGAACGTGCAGGTCTGAACACGACTACACAGGTTCTTGCCTGCCCTCACCTACTCCAGCCGCTCCAGCCAGCCGCTCACCTGGCTATATAAGAAGGGGCCCAAAACGGCCTAAAAGCAGAAGTCTGCCAGCAGCGGTAACGTGCAGACCTCTCACCAGGGGGGAGTAGAAGAGTAGACAGCCCAATAAGGTAAGTTCCAGCTGTTGTTAATGTGATGTGATTGTTGTTGTTTTTATTGATTTTGTTCTTTTTGTTTTAGTTTTAAGTTTTTAGAGACACC